AGTACGAAGGGGAGGACGCCCCAGGAGACGCTGATGGTCCTAATGCCGAGGAGGCTCCAGATGCTACTGCTGATGCCAATGTCGAGACTGCCGAAGCCTGAACTCTTCTTTTTAACGATTTTGTATAAGTGTTATTTTGTTTATTTGCTGTTGGCGCGGATTCCGAACATATTAATGCCGATGACATTTTTATTTTAAGTAATTTTTCTCTTCAAACTCGTGCATTTTTGCTTATTTTCTGTTTGAATTCTATCCATGCTTGTTACTGCCGTAGGCTAATAACTGCTTAGGATAATTACCGATTGGGCCGTTGGCCACTTAGGAGTTGATTTGCTCTGGATTAGCAAAGTGTCTCTACCTTTGGTAGATAAACCTGAAGTTGCCGTGGTACCGCCGTTGGCTCGTACACGGTAGGTAACAAATTCCAGTAGCCCTTTCTCTATAGAGATGCCGTGGGCAAGTCTAGGGTACCGTACTGGAGTTAAGTAATCCGTGTGATGAGAATACCGTAGGTAATTCCAGGGTATGGTACTGCCGTTGGCTCGTACCCAATGCTCGTTGCCAAAAAACTTGTAAAATCGAAGGCATCTTGGAATCGGTAGTGAACACTAGAGTGTAGCTTTTGATTGCCGTATGCAATGCTGCTGTGGCTCGTATATAATGAGCCCTACCGAAACTTTTTTTTTTTTTTTTTTTTTTGAAAAGGTGCCGATAGGCTATAATGCTCCAAACATGTACAACTTTGGGTAATCTCATTTCATATATAAGTGCCGTAGGCAAAAATACAAATTCCACCATGCCGTTGGCTAGGGGGCTTTACTTAAAATAACTCTTGAGGTGATCCACATTTCATGGGTGACCGAGGGTCTTCCCATCCGTGCCTCGGAGCTTGTAGGTGCTGGATCTAAGGATGCCGATGACTTCATAAGGTCCTTCCCAGGAAGGTCCGAGGATTCCTTCCGTTGGGTTTTTGGTTGCGAGCGAAACCTTGCGCATAACCCAGTCCCCGATTCTGAAGGAGCGAGGTTTGACCCTTGAGTCGTAATACCAAGAGACGCGCTGTTTGTATGCTTCGTTCCGAAGGTTGGCTGCCGTTCGGCGTTCCTCGATTAAATCCAGGCTCAACGCGAGTGCAGCCTCGTTTGCCTTTGGCTCGAAAACTTCCGTTCGGTAGGAGGACTCGCCGATCTCGACTGGGACGACAACTTCTGAGCCGAATGCGAGGCTGAAGGGAGTCTCCCCTGTTGAGGTTCGGTAGGACATTCGGATGGCCCACAGAGCTTCGGGAAGCTTCTCCGGCCAGGCGCCCTTGGCACTGTTGAGTTGCCGTTTCAAGAGTTTCTTGATAATTTTGTTCACGGCTTCTACCTGACCGTTCGACTGAGGGTGAGCTGGGGAAGCGAAGAATAGGTTAATTTTGAGGCGAGTGCAGAACTGCCTGAAGAGTTCCGAAGCGGCAACAGATGTTGGTCCAGACAAACTCCTCGACCCTTGCCGCCATTTTGGTGGCTAGGGCTTCGGCTTCGATCCATTTCGTGAAATAGTCCACGGCAACAATTGCATATTTAACCTGTCCCTTGCCTTGCGGCATGGGCCTGATTAGGTCAAGTCCCCACTGGGCGAATGGCCATGGGCACACGATCGGCAGGTAGGTGCGGAATATTGCCGAACCGTTGGCATTTGTCGCACTTCTTTACCATCGCTATTGCATCCCGATACATCGACGACCAATAGTAGCCCTGCCGGAAGGCTTTGTGGGCCAGGGATCTGGAGCCAGAATGATCGCCACAGACACCACTGTGGATCTCCCGAAGGACATATTTGCCCTGCTCTTCGGTGACGCACTTCATGTAGGAGGTTGTGTAGCCGCGTTTGTACAGGATGTCATTGATGACAATGTACCTTGCCGATCGGTAACGCAGCTTCCTCGCTTGTGACTTGTCCTTTGGGAGGGTGCCGTTCGTAAGGTATATGTATATTGGCGACATCCAGGTGTCCTCATACTGTATGGTGCATATGCCGACGGAGGTGGTGCTTGGCTGGGCCAAGATCTCGACAGGGACCTTTCGGCCAATTTTGTCGTTAATTGCCGATGCCAATCTGGCTAATGCATCGGCATGGCTGTTCTCTGACCTCAGAACCTGCCGGATCTCGTAGGCCTTAAACTGCTGGAGTAGTAGATGTGCCGATGATAGGTAGGCTGTCATAGATGCGTCCTTTGCGGCGAAATCGGCAGTGACCTGGTTGACGAAGAGTTGCGAATCGCTGTGGATGCTGACCTGCTTAGTTCCCATGCTCTTTGCTAGCCGAAGGCCAGCTAAGAGGGCTTCGTACTCTGCCTCGTTATTGGATGTTCGGAAACTAAACCTGATGGCATATTCCATCTTGGCTCCGTCGGGGGCGGTGAGTACCAAGCCAGCTCCGCACCCTTGTTGGTTTGCCGAGCCGTCCACGTGTAGGATACAGATAGGAATTGACTGGTCTAACCGGCTACCGTTTGGTAGGCCTTCCGGTGGAGGGGTTTTCCCGGGTTCTGATGCCTCCGAAGGTGTTAGTTCAGCGATGAAGTCTGCCACGGCTTGTCCTTTTTCGGCAGGTCTGGGTTTGAACTGTACGTCGAATTCTCCTAACTCGATCGCCCATTTTACCAACCTACCGGATGTTTCTGGCTTTTGAAAAACCTGCCGAAGAGGCTGGTTGGTTAGGACGACGATGGTATGGGCCTGAAAATAGGGCTGCAACCGCCGGGCAGAGACGACCAGAGCCAAAGCCAGCTGCTCAAGTGGGGCGTATCGAGACTCTGCCCCTTGTAGGGCCTTACTGACGTAGAAAATCGGTAGCTCTGCCTTCTCCGGTATTCGTATTTATACTGAGCTGACGGCAGTGTTGGATACTGATAGATACAGAAAGAGAAATTCCCCTGGGAGTGGTTTTGACAGTAGCGGAGCTTTGCCTATGTAGTCTTTTAAGTCTTGAAACGCCTTATCGCATTCGGCAGTCCACTCTATATGGTGTTTGCCCCCTATCAAGGCTTTGAAGAACGGTGCACACTTGTCTGTGGCTCTGGATGTCACTCGTCCGGTAAGGCTCTGGATGTCCTTTTGTGTCTTCGGCACCTCCATGTCGATTATGGCCTTTATTTTATCGGGGTTTGCCTCGATACCCCTTTGGCTGATCATGAAACCGAGGAATCTTCCCGAAGATACGCCGAAGGCGCACTTCGTTGGGTTGAGTCTCATTCGGTAATCCTTCAAGATGCCGAACATGATGGCTAAGTCCGCCAGATGTTCATCTGCCGTTCGGCTCTTTACTAGCATGTCATCCACATAGACTTCCATTGTACTGCCGATCTGCTCAGCGAAGATTCGGTTAACCAGTCTCTGGTAGGTTGCCCCCGCATTCTTTAAGCCGAACGGCATGACGTTATAGCAGTATAAGCCTTTGTCGGTTATGAACGCCTTGTGTTCGCTGTCGGCAGGGTGCATGAAGATCTGGTTGTATCCAGAGTAGGCGTCCATGAAGCTGAGCAGTTCGTGACCGGCAGTGGCGTCGACCAGCTCATCGATGCGTGGCAACGGGAAGCTGTCCTTCGGACAGGCTTTGTTCAGATCGGTGTAGTCTTGGAACATTCGCCATCCACCTTTTGCCTTCCAAACCATGACAGAGTTTGCCAACCAGTCTGGGTATACAGCCTCCCGAATGAAGCCTATGGTCATGAGTTTGTCTACTTCGTTCTTCATAGCTTCATACCGTTCGGCATCGTAGGATCGGGGCTTTTGCCTGATAGGCTTGAAAGCCGGTGAGATGCTCAGTTTGTGGCTGATGATGTCGGGGGATATGCCCGGCATGTCGTTGTAAGACCAGGCAAAGACTTCCGAGTTTCGCCGAAGGAACTGGATGAATTCGGCGCGGAGGGTGGCGTTTAGCATGGTTCCGATTCGTACGTACCGGTCCGGCTGACTCTCGTCCAGCGCCACGGTTTCGAGATCCTCGGCAGGTTGTGTCATCGGAATAAGCGTTTCCTCCCTCGGGTCATCTACTGGGTCGTTGCCGTTCGGCAAATCCACTACCGTGAAGGTCTCTTTCTACTTTTGAGGAGCTGTCGACTTCAGCGCCGTGGCATAGCAGTTCCGGGCGCTCAGCTGGTCGCCCCTGATTGCCCCCGTGTCGTAGCAAGTTGGGAACTTCATGAGCAGCATGTGGGGGGGCAAGTGGGCCTTTATTGCCGTGAGTGCCGTTCGGCCGACAATAACGTTGTATGCCGTCGGACAGTCCACCACAAGGAACTGATCGTAAACCATGGTCCTTCGTGGGGCTATGCCGAATGCGATCGGCAATCTGACACTACCGATTGGCTGGACCAAGTCTCCGGAAAAGCTGAGGAGAGGCGAAAGTTGTCGGTTGACCTGGCTGCCATCTACTCCGAGTTCTTTGAACGCATCGGCAAAAATGACGTTTACCGAACTTCCAGTGTCGATCAGAATTCGTCCGATGATCATGGGGTCGTCATGTGGGTAGATGATCCCTTCCTCTTCTTCCTCGGAGAAGGTGATGGGTTCCCATATGACCTTCGGCATCTTGGTGTGCCGGCTACTTTCAATGCCGAGGACTTGGGGGTACTGTGCCGCCCTGACATACTGCTTCATTGACCGGTTAGATGCCCCGGCGAGAGTTCGGCCTCCGCTGATTGTGCTGATCATGTTGATTTGTCGATTGGCGTTCGGTACTGGCGCCTGCTGCGGCCTGGCTATGTACTGATCCAGTTTGCCTTCCCGAATTAACCGCTCAACGATCTTCCGCAAGCTTATGCAATCCTCGGTATTGTGGCTGTTCTGCTGATGGTATCGACAGAATTTCCCTGTATCCCTGCCGTCTTGCCGATTAGGCTTTCGGAACGCTGGCTTCGGGATTATCTCATTTTCATTCATCAGCACTGCCTCGTAGGAGGTGTTGAGCAGGGTGAAC